CCCCGTACTAGTAAGCTCTTACATTGGGGAATCTCTACAGTTCAGTGTGCATGCACATCACCTGGGAGCAAACACAGGTTCCTATTCACTTATTTGGAATGGGACTCTGTATTCTTTGTGACTAGCAAGCTTTAAGGTGATATGAACATCGCTGGCCTGACAAACTGTACCTTGGATGACATTGGCCCAAGTGCATATTTGATGGCCATGGCCTCCCTGTTGTTAACTGTTTAGTCCCATTCTGCTGACAGGTGGACAAGATTTAGCTTACATTTGAACTATGTCACCCAAGGTGGGCATGTGGACTCCTATCCTTATCTACAAAACAGGGAGTGGCTTCTCTTCAAGCATTGTCCAGACAGTAGTGGTCACTGTGGTATCATGTGTTTGGCCCAGTGCCTTGCACACAGCAGGTACTTAACATTTAGTAGCTCATTTTCTAGAATTTGCATCCAGCTTTCAGCCTTAGAATCTGGCAGTTCTTTCTACTAGGTCCTTGGAAATCAGGAATTATCTCATTGAGTAGAGAAGGTTGGTAATTAAAACACTTAACACTAATTGAAGATGGGTGGAGCTGATTGATGGCGTTCCCTCTGCAGGTGGTAAGTTTACTTTGGCAACTCCAAGGACATTTCTTTATCTGGAGCTGGCTTCTCATCAGAGCATCCCTTCCTGAAGAGTCTACTGAGATTGGTGTCTACCTTCTCCTTCCCAGATCACATGCTCATACAGGCTATCTTTTCTGACAACAACCACTAGTCCTCAGGTTCAATTGCAAAGACCACAGTGCCTGTTCCAGTTTAGTTGTGGCTTCCTGAGGCGATGCCTAGGTCCATGCTGTCTTTGGTAACATGGTAGTGACTGAGTTTTCAGGGTACTGCGGCCACTGAGTTCAAGGAGAAGGCATAAGATACTTCTTGATCACCTCAGCTTCAGCTCTGGATATTGGCTTTCCTGAAAGTGCTAGAAACCCTAGGGATAGGTCCAGTCAGTCTCTCAGTCCTTATTAGAAATAACCAGTATAGCCCTTAATGATTCACAAAGCACTTAGTTTTATTTCACACTCTTGCAAAGGACATAAAACAGATATTACACCAAATGCAATGAGGATATTAAAAGGATTAAATAACTGTCCCCTGTCACTCCCCAGTCACTGCCTTCTGACTCTACCCCTCTTTATCCAGTCTCTGTTGGTAGGACAGCCAGTTGGAACAGGCCCTGTGCTGAGCCTTGAGACTGTGGTGCTGAGATAAAGCAGACACAGCCTCTCTTCAAGGAGCCTGCTTTCCATCGAGGAGGACAGAGCTGAGCAGATAATCTCTCAGATAAATTGGAGAGTGCTGCTGGGACCAGGGCTGAGAGAGAGAGAGAGAGAGAGAGAGAGAGAGAGAGAGAGAGAGAGAGAGAGAGAGAGAGAGAGAGGGAGGGAGGGAGGGAGGGAGGGAGGGAGGGAGGGAGGGAGGGAGGGAGGGAGGGAGGGAGGGAGGATGCTTTGAGAGTCTAATGGAGAGGAATTTGACATGAGGGCAAGCTTCTCTGACACCACTCCGAGTGGGTATGAAGAATGACCTGGAAATACCCAACAAGGGCCACTGTCTTTCCTCTAGGTCCAGCCAGAGGAAAGATTGGCAGAGGTTTTGTATAGACACTTCCTTAGCACAGATCCCAGTCTGCCTTTTCATCCTTTTTCTTATTTCCCTACTTCCCTGGGACATCCTCGAAGACAGAGATCAGTCATCGAATAAAGTGACACTCAAAGGCATTAAACTGAGACCCAAGGAAGTTAATTGGGGATGGCTAATACATGCGTCCCCAGTGAATGTCCTCAGAGTGGAGGCAGCAGAGGATAGAAGACAGAATACCTGGATATGTCTCTATCCAGGCAGGATGGCGCTCTGCCATTGGCCTCCAGGTCTATGTCTGAAAATGAGACATAGCGAAGTATCTGGAGCCATAAGAAAGAAATGTAAGAAAGCGTTCTTCAGTCTTGGCTGCAGGGACAGAGCTCCGAGACTCAAATTCCTCCCAGCAGATTCTAAGCAAACCACTGGCTTTTTTATGCCTGCATGGCTTCATCTGCCAACTGAGGAAGACAAGATGTCTTTTGAAAATATGAAGGTCAAACAAGATGAAACTCGTGAAATGCTTGCTGCTTGATGAGTAATAAGCAGTAGCGATAGTATTAAAATAAGGGTGTTGACACCGAGCCCAGGCGATGGCACAACTGTTCCTCTGCTCCCTCATTATATAGGCAGAAGACCTCTTGTGAAACATGATTGTGATCTCCTTTGGGTTTAGTTGATAAGTGATTTCGTCACACTACTCTTAGTCTGATTTTTGCTGCCATAATTAAATACAGGGGACTAGGCAATTTCCTAAGGATTGATGCTTATTTAACTCACAGTTCTGGAGACTAGGAGGTCTAAGAAAGTGGCGTGGGCATCTGCTTAACATCAAACGAAGGCCTTGGCCTGTACGGTAATGTGCCAGGAGGCATCACATGGCAAGGCTGCAGAGGGTACCAGCCTAAGCCCTTCTCCTTTGCAAGTCCCATCACAAAGAGCCCCGCCCACATGATCCAGGAGTCTAACTCTAACTGCCTCCTGAGGGCACCACCTCCAAATACCACCAACATGTGAAAGTTATAAAAGTTATAAAGGGAACAAAAAAACCTGGCAAAGTTAGTGTCCAGAAATCTCCATGAGGGCTTGTCCAGCTTCCCTTGGATTCCTCCATCCTGCAGCTCACCGTCACTCCAACCAGCCCTTTACACTTCCTGCATTTGTGTGGGCAATGCTCATTCATGTAACTGTTCACTTGTGTAACTGTTCACCACCCTGCTTCCTAAAGCTGCATCCTTTCCCATTTTTTCCATAAATACTATCCATTCACACACACACACACACACACACACACACACACACACACACACACACCCTTTAGGCATTGGGGCGGGCTATAGTGATGGACACAGGTTCAGAGCTCTTAGCCTCACAGGTACAGATTACAGTTTGCTTTCGGGAACCAGGCAACATGTAACACACAAACAGATAACAAAGATACATCAGATGGGGAATGACAGTCTGCTTTGGGGGGGGGAAGGCAATGTAACAAGGTCTGCTGGGATAAAGGTGGGGAGCCTATGGGAAAGTATGGGTGGTTGGGGAAGACCTTTAGAGGCTGTTGGATGACAGTGTCTAGCCAAGTGAAGAGAACGGAAAAGACCACTCCCAGGCAGAGGGAAGAGAAGGGTAACCAGAAACAGTGAAGCGAATACAGGACAGCAGAGAGTGTTGCAAACTAAGCTGGAGATGAGGCAGGAGCTGGATTGAGGGTCTACCTCTCTCTAAGACTCCCTTGGTGTCCCAGAACAGCTCTGTTGTGGTCCTTTCTGTCCTAGGGGTGAATTGAGCTTTCCGTATCTACAGCCCAAGTACAGTGCCTGTCTTCCTAAGTGATGACTGGAGGACACTGGCAAGATGCCTCAGTATGCAAAAGTGCTTGTTGCCAAGAGTAGCGCGACCTGAATTGGTTCCTGGGATCCAAATGTGGAAAGAGGAAATGGGTTTCCCCAACTTGTTTCTTTGACTTCTACATGAGTCCTAAGGCTTGCATATATATGTATGCACAGATAAACAAATAATAAATGCATTTTTGAAAGTTTTTAGAGAGCTACTGGTGGTAGAGAGATAGATTTAGGGAATGGAACCTGTTGGATGCAATGTCTCTCGGGAATCTTTGCTGAATCAGCACTCACAAAACACATTCTTCCAACTAATTTTGATAGCAAACTTAGCATTGGCGCAAAAGCTGCAAACAGTTCCAGAAGATGCCCTGCCTCTGGTTCAGACCAACATAAGTGTTCATCCCTCCCAGATGGAGGTACAGCCAGGCAGAAGGTGTTCTGGAAATGAACCTGAGCTGTCAATCAAGATCTAATCAATTTCAAAATAGAATGTGGAGCAGAGTGCAGATGACCTAACCAGAAAGAAAGACAGGGGTGTGGCCTTTCCAATTCCAAGTGAGGTCAAATAGTTAGGACATCTGACTTTGGCAGAACAGGTCGTGGCAGAGGGAATCTGACAGTTGAGCATGACAGCTAGGGAAACACTGGGGCCACAAAGGATGGGGAAGCGAGAGTGAGGGTCTGAGTCATCACCGCTAATGAAACCTTGGGCCACACTCAGCTTTTCCTGCCAGCTCAGGCCCAGTGAAAGCCGTTTGCTCAAATCCTGTTCTATTTGAGGAAACACCAGCTGCATCGGCGGAAGTACGGCTTGTTCCACATCAGGAACAAGAGCCCCTTCTCTTTGCTTATCGGTGTTTGTGGGCACCAGCCCTGCAGTGTGCAGGGCTATCCTGCTGCTCAAATAAGTTAGGGCAGCCCAGTCTAGCCTGAGAGGCCAGGCAGCCATTCTGCTTGGAGGCTAGGAGAAGCTGAACCGGCATCACTCTCAGGAAGTAGGGATTTTCGTCTCTCTAAAACAGTCCTGCAATTCTCCGGTACCAACTCCGAAGGAAAGATGAAGTGACCAGCTGTCACTCACCGTCCCACCTGTCCCCTCCTCTTGACCTGGGAGAGGAACACAGAAAATCAGATCATTTTTCAGGGGTGGGGGGCAGCTGCACAGGCCACCAGCGCACTGCTGCCTTTTCAGGCTGGAGGCTGTGTGCACCCTGACATCCATTTGTTTCCCTGGAAACCATGGTTGAGGTGCATTAGGGCAGGCAAACTGTACTGGACCCGTTAGGCAGGATGTCTCTCCTTTATCAGTTAAGCTCGGTTTAGAGACATAGACTACTAGGGTTGAGCCTAGGACACACATTAAGCATTTCTGGGCGCTCTGAGCCCCCACCCCCCAGCTCTACTGCAGCAAATTATCAGGGCATCCTGCTTACAGTGTAGGGTAAACCTCTACAAACTGTTCTTTGCTTAGCATCTCAGGGGCTATTTCTGTTGCAAGGACTATGACATAGAGAAAATGAGTAGGCAGCAGGAAGAAATGAGTTTCCCTTATTTATTAACCAGGGTACCCTTACATCTGCGGATCAGCCAAATAACATCTAAATATACTTCGCAGTCACCTGTAGCAGGATGTGTTGGCCTGGAAACACAAAAACTGCCTTCTTTCTGCTGTTCACGTTCGCAGGAGACCTTGATACAGCACTGTGTGCCTCTGGGCTCTCGAAAGTTTTGTGTAACAAGAGAGTCGAACCAGAGCATGGTGTCTTGAGTCCCATGATGTTTGGCACTTTGAAAACACAGAATCACGCTGTAGAAAGTTGTTCCTATACTCTATAATCAGGGGCACAAAGCACAAAGCGCGCGCGTGCGCGCGCGCGCACACACACACACACACACACACACACACACACACACACTGAAAGAACACTGACATTTTAGATCCTCTTTCGGAAAAGACAAGCTTTAGTGTATAAGCAGATGAATAAATCAGCGGCTGTGGTCACCTTTTGATTGTCAGTTTCTTTGTTTTCAAATCTTATTGGCTTTCTATTTGGAGTATTTTTAAATTGACTGGCTGTTGGGTTCAAATGGTGTTTTAAACAATTTTGGCGCGGGCTATAGAGTTTGGGTGTGCCACTAAACTGCCTTGGCTGAATGACGGTTTAAACAGAGCTGAACAGCTGGTGCTGTGAGGAGACTCCTTGATGGGAAGATTTCCTAGGAACAATGGCTTGTCTTAAGCTTTCTTGGCTTGGGATTCCATGAGGGTTCCTGTGGTCTCCTTAGGTCCTGGGATTCCATGAGGGTTCCTGTGGTCTCCTTAGGTCCTGGGATTCTATGAGGGTTCCTGTGGTCTCCTTAGGTCCTGGGATTCTATGAGGGTTCCTGTGGTCTCCTTAGGTCCTGGGATTCCATGAGGGATCCTAATTTCTCTTTAGGTCCTGGGATTCCATGAGGGATCCTGTGGTCTCTTTAGGTCCTGGGATTCAATGAGGGATCCTGTGGTCTCCTTAGGTCCTGGGGACCCTTCTGTTACAGGACCATCACTGGCTCTCAGTGAGATGCAGAGCCAGGAGTAAGAGAGGTAGGAATTGGGTTTTCTCATCACCTTACCTTCTATTTCAGGATCAGCTTTGTCTTTGGAAAGAGAATGGGCTTGAGAGCGCTTTCCACTTAAGGCCAGTCTCTGCCCCCTCCTCCATCACAGCTGTTGGATCATTGTTAATCTTTTTGAGAGGGAGGAATTTCATTCAAGCAGTAGATGAGAAACACTGACTTTTAACATTTCCACAGAAAGAGTGCAGCATCCTTAAGTGCTTCTTCAAACACTGAAAACGAAAATGAAAGCATTAAAATCTGAGACATATAGACCTAGCTAGGTCAAACAATGCTTTTTATGTGCCCAGAATTTAAATATTTTACTTGACTTTACACATGCATGCTTATCAAATCTCTCCAAATAAGCAGCACACAAGCTGGGAACTGTTAAGTGCCAGAAGGTACCTTTCACAAGTTAGGGCCAAGGTGTGCTCCAAAGAGATCACACCACACAACAGATCTTACTTAGGAGGTTTATTGGGGGGAGGGGAGTCAAAGGCTGACTCGGAGTAGGCGAGAGAGAGAGAGAGAGAGAGAGAGAGAGAGAGAGAGAGAGAGAGAGAGAGAGAGAGAGAGAGAGAGAGAGAGAGAGAGAGAGAGAGAGACCAGGAGATATATAGAGAGTGAGCTAGCTACGATGTCAGGAAGAACCTTTCAAAGGGTGCGCGTGTACATAGGGAGGTCACACAACTCAGAGGCAGTGGAAATGTGCTGCACCTGAGTTACTGGCACTGAGTTGCTGAAGGCAGGCTGTGGGAGGGAGTGTCTGATTTCTAACAGGAACAGTGTATAAAAACTAGTTAATCTTTCTGAGGACAAAACATAATACCAGGAAATACAAATTGGAGGTTGAACACTGTACAACACAGCCACACTTTCTGGTTTCTAGTGACTTGGCAGCATACACAGTTATTATAAAAGAGAGGTGTGACAGCGCCACTGTGGTGAAGAGTTGAGACAACGTGCAATACTGAGCCTTTCCATCGTTTAACCAAGAAACTGGCCCAGGGTGGGTCTCAGTGTGTGCATGCAAATGAACATATGATAGAAGTGGCCGCTTTACAGGGAGGGGCTAGAAGTGTACGAGTGCCCTTAAGCCATGACAGCACAATGGAGCTAGAAATGAGCATGGAGACCTTTGCTAGACCTGCTCTCCACTCAGGGATGTCCTTCGAGGCATGGTGGTATTGCCTGGCCAGGTGGCTGCCAATCAACTTTCCAAAGGCACTTCTGAATCATTGATTCAGAAGTTTGAGTGTACCTCAAATTAAACACACATGTCTTTAGATCCCTGACTTTTCAGAGCAGTAAAAATGCCACATACTGGGGGTGATCCTGTGCATGCTTTGGGATGTGGTTTAGAGTCTTTGAGGTTTGGTATGATCTGGACCTAGTAGAATTTTTTTTCAAGACAGGGTTTCTCTGTGGCTTTGGAGGCTGTCCTGGAACTCAATCTTGTAGACCAGGCTGCTCTCGAACTCACAGAGATCTGCCTGCCTCTGCCTCCTGAGTGCTGGGATTAAAGGTGTGTGCCACCACTGCCCAGTGACCTAGTAGAATGTTAACAGGAGATAAAGTGTCTGAGACTGAGGCACCTCTACTCTTCTCCTGACCTAAAGATGTGAGTGAGAGAACCTCAAGTCACCCGGTCTGCTGGGGTTAGAGAGGACAGGGGAGGATGCTGGAATAGAGAAAGCAAATGCATTCTGTGCAACATCCTTTGTGGAACCAGCTCAGCTCCAGGTATTTGCTGAGAGCTTCTGATGGCAGAGATTCACGAGTGATTAGCAAAACCTCCCCAATCTCCCAGCAGATGTGGTTCCCATTCCAGGTATTTTCAGAGTCAATTGCTTCGGCAGGCATGCTCTAGAGGGGATCTTGCTTGGTGAAAGATCAGAGGTCACAGTCAAAATCACGAATGCTTATTAAGGGCTTCCCTCATCTGCCAGCATGCCGAGGCCTTGATACTTGGACAGTGCCAGCCCTCTAGGCAGCCCCATGGCAGTTGCACAACAGTAGATTTCTGTTAGTAATGGTCCCATGAAGCCATTCTCATCTCCCCCATGACTTCTGGTTTCCTCCATTGGAGTCTCACCCTCTGTGTGTAAGGCTTTGCTGTCATGGCCAGCCAGGACTCCTTCTCCTCTTACTATGGTACCCCCTGGATTCTAACTCCTCCTCTATGGTACCAACCAGGATTCCATCTCCTCCTACTATAGTACCAACCAGGATTCCTTCCCCTCCTACTACAGTACCAACCAGGATTCCATCTCCTCCTACTACAGTACCAACAAGGATTCCTTCTCCTCCTCTATGGTACCAACCAGGATTCCATCTCCTTCTATTACAGTACCAACCAGGGTTCCTTCTCCTCTGACTGTGTTACCAACCAGAATTCCTTCTCCTCCTACTACAGTACCAACCAGAATTCCTTCTCCTCCTCCTACAGTACCAACCAGAATTCCTTCTCCTCCTCCTACAGTACCAACCAGAATTCCTTCTCCTCCTCCTACAGTACCAACAAGGATTCCTTCTCCTCCTACTATAGTACCAACAAGGATTCCTTCTCCTCCTACTATAGTACCAACAAGGATTCCTTCTCCTCCTCCTACAGTACCAACCAGGGTTCCTTCCCCTCCTACTATGGTACCAACCAGGGTTCCTTCCCCTCCTACTATGGTACAAACCAGGATTCCTTTTCCTCTGACTGTGTTACCAACCAGGATTCCTTCCTCTCCTACTATGGTACCAACTAGGATTCCTTCTCCTCCTACTATGGTACCAACCAGTATTCCTTCTCCCCTGACTATGGTACCAACTAGGATTCCTTCTCCTCCTACTATGGTACCAACCAGGGTTCCTTATCTTCCTACTATGGTACCTGAAACTTTCTTCACCCAGAGAATGCAAAGGAAGGTCCTGTTAGAATTGTTCTCCCTGCTTGTATCTCTGGTAAGAGCAGAAGCGTGCCTCAGAACTTAGTCACTGCAGTTCAGGTGTCTGGGCCAGATTTCCAGCAGCTTCTACTATGGTATGAGTCCAGTTTGCATGAGGCTCCCTTTCCCATTTGTGAGAGGCCCCGCGTGATCCTCTCTTCATCAGAGTAAACTGCCTTTTAGCTAGAGTCTTTTCATGACCCTGCCAGTTCAGCCGTGTCTGACTCCAAGGTCTATGGACTTGATTCTGTTGTGCTGGAGCCTCAGGGCTTCTTCCTAGGATTATCTGATCCATTTTTTCTAGCTCCTTTAGAATTGGTCAGTGTTGACACTTCAAATCTCCTTCCTCAGTCTGCTGTCTGTTGACTGTGTCTACAGTAGAGCACAGTACTGGTTCAAACTGAGCTAGGCTGACACATCCTATACTCTAGACTGAATGACTCTCCCCTATGCTGTCCTGATCTTCAGCCCAGACTGCCTGTGGACTCAAATGCAGTTTGAAAACATGAAAAGGCATTGGGTCTATTCTAAACATGAGCCAATATTTGCATCTTGTCATTTGCTGAATGATAAAACCACTCACACAGCATTAATATGGCATTAGGCATTAGAATTCATCTCTGACGATTTAAGGTATGTCAAAGAATGAATGTAGTTAACATGAAAATCCTACATTTTGTATAAGAGACCTGAGGCTCAGCAGATTTTATTATGTGTCGTGAGCCCTGGAACCAACAACCCACAGGATGACTGTATTCAGTACTGGAGCCTTGGAGTTAGTGTTTGGGGCTGAGGAAACCAGAAACTGGTTAAGTTGTTGCCTCTGTGGCATTATGGTTTGCAGATTACGTGATCTCATTGCTTCTCAGAGGCGAAGGTTTGTGCTATGGCATCTGAAGTAACAGGGCACCACTGCTTGTGGAAAAGCAGGGACCAATGAGGCAGGAGAATGCCCTTAGTACAGCTGAATGGTCCCTCTCCTATGCCTGGATTTAAAGCTGTGTGGTAGCAGTTAGACATTCCATTAGCAAAGGCTCAAACTAGCAGTGCGCAAGTTTCCTGGATCTTACCCCTCAAATGTATCATGTGTACTTGGTTGTCCTAGTTTGTCACTCAGGAAGGATGATCTTCTAGGCCAGAGGTCACAGACTGGCTGCCTCCAAGCTAGCCTGGCCACCAGATGGTTTTGATTTGGTCTATACCAGAGTTAAAATACTTTCAAAACTATAATTGTATGTGTGTGATAGTTTTGCCTGACTCGTTGTCTGTGCACCATGTGCATGCAGAGCAATGGAGGCTAGGAGAAGGTGTTGGAGTCCCCGGAACGGGAGTTACAGAGGGTCGTGAGCCATCACGTGCTGGGAACTGAACCCCGATGGCGGCTCTGGAAGAGCAGCCAGTGCTCTTAACCTCTGAGCCACCTCTGTAAGCCCCCAGGTTTGAAATCTTAAATGATCATCACTCAATAAGCCGCGGAGTCTATCTGCACATATGTGCACTTGTGGTTTCTCCTGAAAAGCTATAGATCAAGCACTGGTGTTTGTAATTGGCCCTTTTCTGTGAGTCCTTCACATGCCACAGCCTCCTCCCCGGCTCACTTTGCTTCTTCACAGTCCCAGTCAGCATGCATTGCCACAGAGCATGAATGCCTTGGCCTAGGCTTTGTCTCATGCAAAACTTGTTGTATAGAACAGGGGCTTAACACAGCCCAGGGCCCAAACCCAGGTCCCTCTCTGCCTGCAGAAAGATGAGTTGAATCCAGCCCATTCACCTGCCACTGTCTACTAAGAGTAAGTGGGATAGAGGTCATATTACTCCACTGTCCTAAAATACCTTCTGAACCTTTATGGAAAAAGATTATTGATTTCAATGGGCTAGGAGACAGCTCATTGCACAACATGCTTGCCATGCAAACATGAGAACCTGAGTTTGACTCCTAGGAGCCACATTTAAGAAGCTGGGCATGTGGTGGTGTGTGCTTGTAAATCCTGTGTATGAGGGAAGGGTTGGTACAGAAAGATCCTCAGGGTCTACTGGCCAGCTAGCCTAGCCTTGTTGGCAAGTTCTAGGCCAGTGAGAGATTTTTTTGTCTCAAACATAAGGTGGTGGACTGTACTACTGAAGAGTGATACCCACGTGCGCACATGTATGTATGTATTTATACTTGCACATACATGTGCACTGGAAAACACAAATACCACACACACAGACACACAGACAGACAGACAGACAGACACACACACACACACACACACACACACACTCACCATTCTTGATCTAGAGCGCTAACCCTT